TAAAAAAGTGAATGTTGAATAATAAGTATAAAGGCTTTCAAAAAGTTGCTGTGTAAACATGGTCATAAAAGAAAATAATGACGATAACCGAATCATCTTTGTTATCGCCATAAGCAATATGAGGAGATGTATTTACCTTTCACATGATTTAGCAACCTCAATAGGTTCTTTTTCTCTTCGACATTGGTTGAAGAAGCACGATTAGGTATGGCTTAAATCAGGAAGTGAAGCGAAGAGCATGCGTAAGCAGGTATGTATTCTTTCTTTTTAGCAGCAATTTTATTTATCTAACTGCAGTACACTCGAATGACTGCTTTCATTTGCGCAGAAAAAAGCCGTAAACCAAACTGAGAACGTAGATTTCAATAGCTGATTTTTCGCTATTTTCAAAAACATTACAGAGCAAATACTCAAATAAAGTGGCGTTGCTTCGATACACATTAACGGCAATACAATGGCATGGTTGATGCTTTCGAAAAAACAACATTTCGAGGTATGTTTGCAGGCAAAAATCAAGACAATATTGTTAACCTAGGCAGTGGAACATCCTAAAAGAGTAGTCATCCTATTCGGCGATGTTGTACATTCCGGAATCAATTCCGCCCCCAGAATCAGTTCCATCAGATTTCTGGAATTCCAGAATCATTGAATTAACTCGGCTTGTTTGACAACGATCGAGTTCCTGTAATTTCCGGAGTTTCGAAATGCGATTCCGGAATTCCGTTCGATTCCGAAATTCCGTCTCATCCTCACTCTCAGTTTGTCTTGTCAGGTTAAAGAAACATGTGTGAAACAAACGAGCGATTCTGGAACGGAATTCCGGGAATCGGATCGAAGCGGAATTAGACGGAATCGGACGGAATTTCTAGAAATTCTCAGCAACTCCGTACAGTCCCGGAATCGGATGGAATTACGGAATTGGATGGAATTGCTCAGAATTCCTAGAAATTCCTAGAAATTCCGTCAGATTTCGTCTAATTCCGCTTCAATCCAATTCCCGGAATTCCGTTCCGGAATTGCTCGTTTGTTTGACATATTTATGTTTAACTACACAAAACAAGAAGTTGGTGAGGATACGATGGAATTCCAGAATCGCATGCAATACCGTACAATTCCGGAATCGGATGGAATTACGGAATTGGGCGGAATTGCTCGGAATTGCTGGGAATTCCTAAATATTCCGTCAGATGCCGTCTAATTCCGCTTCCATCCAATTCCCGGACTTCTGTTCGGGAATCGCTCGCCTATTTAACATATTTCTCTTTAACTACACAAGACAAGCTGAGAGTGAGGATGAGAAATAATTCCGGAAATTGAGGGAACTCGATCGTTGTTGAATAAGCCGAGTTAGTTCGATGATTCCTGAATTCTGGAATCGAATGGAACTGATTCTGGGAGCGGAATAGGATGTATTTCCTCCTAAAAATGTTTTGACGATGTCATTTCTAAAGGTATTTTACAAGAATCAGCTTCCGTTATTTTAGACTTTAAATGAATCTATTTTCTTCCCAACTCAGTAGATTGAAGATGAAAACTATCATTTGAATTACAACAATCAGTTCGGTGTGGAGTATCATCATTGCTTGATAGTCCAAGTCCAATGATTTGATTGGGTGTGGGTGTAGGTGAGAAGAATATCCAAACCCGCACCCACACTCCATCTCATCATACCCCACCCCACTCCACCCCACCCCACTCCACCCCACTCCACCCCACCCCACTCCACCCCACCCCACTCCACCCCACCCCACTCACACCCACACCCACACCCACACCCACACCCACACCCACACCCACACCCACACCCACACTCCACCCCACCACACTCACACCCATACCCACACTCCACCCCACCACACTCACGCTCACACCCACACTCCACCCCATTCCATCACACTCACACTCACACCGTCGATTCTTGTAAAAACATATTTGCTTTTGGAAGGCAGTACTCAATCAAAGTCCAATACTGACATACATACTTTCCATTTCTATCTTTTCGCTAGATCTGAGGAAGATCAAGGTATGTCTAAAGTATTAATAACACAATCAGTTAACAGATGTAATCTGACTACCTTTACCAAACACAAAAGTTATTTTGTTCTTCAAGACGATATCATTGCTCGGAGTTTCATTTCGGTAGTCTATGCATAAGCATGAATGAAAATTGGTGTTGCTAAAAAAAACATATCTCAATCATGTTACGCATTACATCGTGACATTCGTCTCACGAGATCCTTCTGTTCCTCTACTGATCTCATACGTTGTCTCATCTTTATAGTTCGCAGTTTGGTAATTTTTTACTCGTCTTGCAATCCATTCTTGAGCTGTCAACGCATGATCTTCGTGTTGCTCTTCTTTGTCATCACACATAAGACTCTTCATGAGGACATCGTTTTCTGGTCGGGCAAAATACATCACACTGTAACGATTGACAGCTTCGTTGAGTTCAGACATATTTACTACGCGATGGATATTTGATTTGAGGAGACCACCAGACAATTTAACCAGCGCATCACCAAGATTGACAATAGCATGCCCAGGCAATGGTTGAATATTCATCCATTCTCCATTCGGTGTCAATATTTGCAAGCCACCCAAACGATTGAAAAGAATCGTCACTGAGCCAAAATCGGTGTGTGCACCTAAAGCCACATCTTGCGTAGATGACATTTGATTTGGATACATTGTGGACTTGGTGAGTCTTAATTGATCACCGCTGGGTTGTATGAGTCTATGCAAGTCAGGTATAACTAATGAATCAAGCCCCAATTTTATGGATAACGCCTCGAGAATGATAAGAACAATTTCATGCGATCTTCTCATGTATTCTTTCACAGTAGATTTGATGTTCATGATCGGTTCTGGATAGGTGATTCTATCTTGTAGCAGAATTTCATCCTTTGAAATGTTCCAGAATTCGATTTTATCCGGAGTGCCTTTCTTATCGGTGAACATCGTACCCACAGCCTTGTAACCGAAATAGACTCCATTTTTACCATCCATAGCATATTTCATTTTCGTGTCCAATGGTAGTTCAAAAAGTTGTTCGGCGAGTGTAAACATGGTAGTTGGATCGAGTTGATTCGGAAGTTTAAGATAGAAGAATCCCACTTCGATTGAGGCATGGTAAAGTCTATCCAGTTCTTCGCGATTCTTTTGAACAAGACGGTCGTAATCAATGATTAGCAGCTGAATATTAGGTAGATATGATATGAATTCAAGAGATGTCGAGGACATTGTGATTGTTGCAGTTGTGAAATGTAAAAAGATCAATGTCTAGAAATAAAAGATGATGATGTTGAGAATAGATGATTCGATTGGATAGAATCGAATAAATGCAACGTCGAAGGTAAACAAATCATGAAAAATTAGTTAGTTCCATATTGGACCTTTGTCACGTCTCTTTCTTGTATCTTTCATTGAAGATGAATACAAGATTCCTACAGATTCAGGTTGAGAAAAAATCCAAGTCAATGTTCAAGTTGGCTTTCTATCTCTCCTGTTTGGCAAGTTTACAGAACTGCTCTCTTACGCGTTCGTTTTTTTTTTGATAGTGTACCTATCTTGAAAATGCGAATAGACGATGATAACTTCGTTTAAGTTACACGTTTCATTGAGAAAATCTTTCACCATTGCACGTCATGGAACTGACGTCTTCGAAGAGAAACTCGGATATAATCCTAAGTAGTATCTTAACTTGGGTATATTTTTTAATTGAAAATTAAAACTTCCACATTTCATGACCATGTATGCAACCATGTTCGATATCAAACTATGGAGACGCACTGGAGAGATACAGAGTGATCTGAAGACTTCTGATTATTTTTATGGGTATGCAATCATGCGATAAAAAGTCTTAACCTAAGCGCTTCTTATATCGGATCTTTTGTTCTGCGTTCACTTACCCTTCGATAAGAAGCTTCAGTTTTCAGAAAAAAAATCGATTCCATGCTACAGTTTATACGTTATTCAATGGGTGTCGTTTTCTAATAAAGACAATTCTGAAAAGATCGTACTATCTGTCATGAAATGCTAACGCACGCCAATGCGCATACTAGGTTTTGACTCTAGTAAATAACAGCCAATGTGCTCTTATCAGCATTTTTGTCTTCGAACATGTAACCAAAGATAAGAAGTCGTCTTACGCACATGTTTCATTATTCGTTCTTCTTTTACATCGCATAACATCTATTAAAGTTCGTGAATTCTCGCGACCCCTATGGAATTATTCGTATCATCGACAAGATCACACTGAGAATCGACAAATGAACGATGGTCATTGTTGGCATTGTCCAATACATGCTAATCACGATGTAGAAGCTTGAAGCTAGAATATATTTTCAAAAGTTGAATGTCGATCGTAGATTCTCAATACCATGAATCTCTCTGATCCACGACAAGGCTAATTAGAGTGTGAGTGTGGGTGTGGGTGTAAATGAAGAGAAGATCCTCACAGAAACCCACATCGTTCGACTTTATGTTTTAGTTATGGATGGGACTCTATAGGACTAAGAAAAACCTAAACAGATTCAGGATCATGGCTTCCTGATGAAGAGTCATGGCCATTTTACTGAACTTATTATTCAAAACAAGGAAGGCATTTCCAAAAGAGTCAAAATGAAAAAATTTGATCTGAAGTTGTGTCTATAGACACAGCTAGTTGTCATTGGAAAGTTCAGAAAGTTTGCAAGAAAATGAACGTATCTTTTAAACGATGTTCAATTCTCTACATAAGTAAAGTCCACAAGGTGTACTCAATGATTGAATATCTTATATATATGATAGCTTGATGGTGTGGGTGTGGTGATATGTCAGATCAATAGAAAATAAATTTCCACACCCAAATCCACACTTTCTCAATGATACGCGTGCTAAAGCCAAAAGACTTCTCGAGATCATACTTCAGTGATATAAGAGTAAAGAAAACAGAGAATTTTATTTCAAAAAAATTTGAAGAACGATTAACTATGTCCTCTTATATTCGTCATGGTATTGTTTTAAAGACCGTAAACATATTGTTGACCTAATGCAGACAATTGTCCATTAGGTGCAATCAAGCAATTAGTCGAACCAAGTGCAGGATCCAATTGCCGTTGTGCACCGAACCACGCATAGCGTTCTACCCAATTCAACGAATCCAATTTAGCAACGCTCTGTCTCATAAAATCATTGACTTCTTGTTGAGAAACTGGCTGACTTGGATTCCAAGATGTGCATGCAAATTCTGTGACCCAGACTGGATATTTATTACCTAATTCTCCACGAACTTTGGTAATCCAATTAATGAAGTTGTCCACACCACGACCATACCAGTGCAGAGCAAGAAAATCAATTTTTCCACCCACTTTATCCAATTCGTTGAGAAATTGTTTCAACCAATTGAGTCCTTGATCAGTTGAGGCAATGGCCGGTGAACCGAGTCGAGCACCTTGAGCTCTGAGAGGTTCAATATATTGTTTCCAGGCACTTGCTGCCTCCACTGGATTCATATTTGCTTGATCACCACGCTCTGGTTCATTAAAACCAAGTACGATTTTCGCACCTTTTGCTTGATTGTAAAATTGACTTCCATCGTGACCTTTGTTTGTACTCCATAACATTGGAACAAATTCTATACCAGCCACATTGATTTTGAAGGGCGACCAATTGTACATCCAGGAGATTTTTCCACCAGTAAAAATATTTGGTGAATCTTGCTTATTTTCAGGTGGCCAGGCAATACCTCTCTTACTCACGCTATAACAAAAGAAAAGTTGACGGTTGATTTCTTTTCAGGAATACAAAAAAACCTACAATTTGTGATCGAAGTTCTGCCAGTATTTTATCTATTCTGCACTCTATCTCAACTGCATCTGTGCTAAGTTCTCCTGAACGAATCTTCTCTCAAAAGAATGTCATTTTTCTGAAGTTTAATTTTACATGTCAATGAAACTGTGATACTTGATATCTCAAAACTACCGATTGATTATACTATGATTCGGCTAGCAAAGTTGAACAATCTTCACCTTTCAATGGCGCACCGAGGATTTCAGAAAACTAATCTGAAGGTTTTCTTTGGTCAAGAGATATTCACTTAGAATTGTTTCAAAACTAAATATGTCAAATGTTTTTTTTTCGCAAAGAAATATGAAGGTCACATATCTAATCGCTAGATTAAGAATAGAGTGATATCTTACCCAGATGTGGGTGGTTCAATTGGGCTATTTTTCGTTACACCACAGACCATAGTTGGATCACTCGTTGAGACGGCATCGCTTTTGGAAACTGCACCCGATTTCATCCAACAAGTACCACCGTTATATTGAGTCCATGTAAAGTGAGTGCATCGTTGAGTGTCAGCACATTTTCCACCACAAAGATTTGCTGCAATTAGAACGTTGGACAGATCATTTCCACGAAAATCACACGACATGGCCCAATCATTTCCGTTCCACTGGATGCCACCTTGTTTAACATCATTTATTACACCACAGACCATAGTTGGATTACTGGTTGAAAAGGCATCACTTTTGGAAACTGCACCCGATTTCATCCAACAAGTACCACCATTATATTGAGTCCATGTAAAGTGAGTGCATCCTTGAGTGTCACCACATTTTCCGCTACAAAATTCTGGTGCAATTAGGACGTTAGACAAATCATTTCCATGAAAATCACACGACATCGCCCAGTTATTTCCGTTCCAATTGACATCGCATCTGACGCAACCAAGAATCAAAATATTTACTACCATTAATCCAACCAAAGTCCAAGTAGACAGAATATTAATCATTTTGTGATTGTAATTATTGTTCAGCCACTATTTGTAAACGACTTCTGAAATCAAAAATGATTTCCTGTCATTAATCACCAAATCATGTTTAGTAAATCTTATTCGTTATTCAAATAAAGAGCAAGAACTTTATGGAGGTACAATACCATAGTAAGATATGAATTCAACAATCTTTCAACATCTTATTAGAGTTTACATTCGTATCGCCAGGATGGAAGAATATTCTCGAAAAAACGGATAGTATACGCATTTATCTTGGGTTACCTAGGAGTAGTAACAACTTTACTTATAAAAAGCTATATCTCAAAGAGAAAAAATTTTTGCAATGCCACACAAGAACACTTTACAATCATTAATAGCAAGGCAGTTGGCTTAAGGCGACATACCAATATAACTATGAGTCTTGCAGAATAAAAGTGAGTGATTCCGAGAGACTATCTTTGTTTTCGAACTTTATTGGAAATAAAATATTAAAAATCATAGAAAATGTTTGATTGGAAGCTGTATAGAAAGTTGGTGGAAGTTGGAAAACCGGTATACTTGGCATGGAACCTCTCAGGATAGACTCATCAAATGAAAATAGTTAGTATAACAAAATAAAAATTTAGACCGATGAAAATTTTACATATTGCTCTATGACAAAAGCTCAATTTGTTCTTTGAAAAATTGGAACCCTCCCTCTGGGAGACCCAACGAAAAAAATTGACAAAGAATTATAACCTTTGTTGAAGTTATTTCTCTTCATTCTAGAACGAGTATTCTTTATCCACTACTCTAACTCATCAGCGATGAGCTCACTTGTTTATTTTAGTACTATATTCATGCTAGGTTCTATTGTTATTTTACTTTTGAACACTTTCTCTTATAGCATAACAGCATAAGAAATAGGAAAGTCTACTTACTATCAAAGTGAGATGATTTTATTTAGTTGAAGTTTTTGCTTGATCAGTAATCAACATATGAGTATATATAGTGTTCACATGAAGTAATTGGGACTTTTGTCATCGATTCATATTAACATGTGAAAAAGGGCATTCCCACTTTGAAAACGTAGGCAAAAAGTCATTAGTCACCATCATTTACCCATTCGTAATTGGATTGTTCCTTATGTTAATACTTTATGTGATTTATTTCCACATTACATTGCTTTCACGTCTTCTAATGAATAATCGTAAGGTAAAGAACCCAGTATAAAAGGAAAGCACTGTCTCTTTGAAAAGGTAAACAAAAAGCATTAATCACTATCACTTACTCATTCGTAATTTGATTGTTCGTCATACCGATAAACTGTGTCGTTTGTTTTCATTTTAGTTTGCTTTAATGTCTTTTCGTAAACAAGCGTCAGTAGCAAAAGTTCCAGTTACTTCATTTGAGCGATTGTATAGCTATTTAATTTCAACAACTACTTAAACATTCCCAGTACTACTTAATAGATATTCATAGCTACTTAATATCAAAGCATAGTTATTTAATTATCTTATATATTTCTACCTGTCGAGCTACGTAATCTTAAGTACTACTTTAAGATCTCAAGCACTACTTAATCCATATTCATGGCAATTTAATAAATAGTCAGTGACTCATTTATTCTAAATGATATATTTCGAGCAAGGGCTAAACAAAAAAAACAAAAACTCGTGGACTAATAACTTTTTAATTTCTAATGACCCTAGAGAAATCAGTGCAGTTTTTTTAAATAAATACTCAGGTACTCATTCATTCTAATTGTTTTATTTCGAGCAAGGGTCATTTCAAGCAATAAATACGTCTTTTACCTATTTATAATAAGTTATCAAATCGATTAAGATATGTATGAAAATGTCTACATAGGTACGATGATTTTTATATAGTGGTAGAGTTCCAATTGCTGGTTATAAAAAGAAGTCCAATACGAAATTTTGTTGCAAATGAATTAGGTATTTAAATCATATTATAGCTATATATATATTTTTTTTCAAATAGCTCTTTTAAACAGCTATGGTAATGTTTAAATCGCGATAGATTCTCAATAGCTAGTTACATGAAGTAATGCTATAAGCGGAAAGTTGTTACAAAACAATCAGTTATTTAAGTCATTTAGTAGCTGTATAAATTCTTTTGAATAGCTATCAAATCTATTAAATAGCTATGATAATGTTTAAATAGCGCTAGATTTTAAGTAGTTAGTTACGTGAAATCATGCCATAAACGGAAAACTGTTACGAAACAATTAGCTATTTAATCATTGAGTAGCTGTATGTTATTCGAAAAAGTATCCCTTTTGAGAAGCTACAGAATATTACACATAAGATGTTCAAAATGAATAGTTGCTTTACCAACAAGTATCCAAACTTTTATTTTATGCTTCATCTTTTTCAATAATGTAACGTTTCGTATATGACGAACCTTGATCTCAATTAAATGTTAAAGTATCATCTGTTATATCTGGTACTGTTAATGTTTCTAGTGGTTCAATAAGTAAGTCTAACTGATAAAATATTTGTTTTATGTGTTGGTGATGAATGTCGACCATTGCGTATTTATGTACAAAGATGAAATAAAAATCTATTGGAGTATATGTTATGTTTGATGCATCAACTTTTTATAATTCATCTCATGAATGTTCTTCATAATGGCATACTTCAATTTATATAAGTTGATATCACGTCCGTTTTATTTTGTAATGATCTATAGTTAATAACTATGTTAGAGTTATTGATTGACTTTTAGCTTTTCCAATTTCAACACCAGGTGGTTTTGACGGTGAAATTGAATAAAACAGTTCTTTTTTGTTAAAACCTTTGTATCAATTTCATATGGTGCTGAAACTTCTTCATTTTCAGCTGTTACATATGCATTATATGCTGAGCACCTAATTGTAGATTTTTAATCTATATATATAATGTTCAGTGTGTGTGTGTGTCTGTTTCTCTGTGCCGGGTCAAAGGTTACAGGTCAAAGGTTAAAGATTCTAGAATTTTCTAGACTATTCGAGAACTATGTGTACACAACTAGGAGTTCTAGATTGTTCTAGAACTTTCTAGACCTTTCTGGAATATTCTCTGAGGATCGTATGCACAGGTCAAGGGTTAAAGGTTAAAGGTTAAAGGTCAAATAAAGCTATAAGGGAAAGGCCTCAAGGCCTATTTTATATGGAGGTCCCTATAGGTTCGCAAGCGCTATTCTATAGGGACACCCTAGGTCCCCAAGCGCTATCATATGGGGGGTACTCATAGGTCCTCAAGAGCTATCCTATGGGAATACTCTAGGTCCTCAAAGGCTACTATATGGGAATACTCTAGGTCCTCAAGGGCTACTATATGGGGGTACCTAGAGGTTCTCAAGGACTATTATACAGGGTGCCTAGATTTGCTCAGGTGCTATCATATGGGGTACCCATAGACCCACATGGGCTATTATATGGGGTACCCTAGGTCCTCAAGGGCTATTACATACGGGTACGCATAGGTCCTGAAGGAAGTGAGTAAAAAAGCGAGTAACGAAATAAGGGAATGAGGCAATAAGGCGAAATACAAAAAGGGGGGAGACGATAGGGGACAAGGTTACAAGAACTACAAGGGATATAAGGCTATAAGATTGAAGACTATATGGACTATAAAAATATGTGTGATATAAGACTACGAGACCGTAGGGTATCTAACTATCTATATACATAATATCGAGTGTCTGTATATCTGTTGCAGGATGTAAAGTTAAACGTCTAAGGTCTTACGTTAAAGGAGAAAACAGCCGTGCAGTATGCACGGGCTCTCGCTAGTATAATATAATTTTCTTTCTTTTGTTGTCATATAAAATGAAAGAAAACTAACATCCAACAATGAAAGAACGAGACGCATAACATAAAATCATCTGTAATGCATTGAAAACACCATCATTGGTGTGTATTTCTTTTTTGCAAGAAAAATATATTTTGCAGATTGAAAGTATTATATCGAATACAATTACCAAGTAAAGTTTTCACTTTCTGTTTTAGATTTAATAGATTTACAATTTCAATGTCAAACAAAGCTATTCAAGAAAAAAAAGGTGTATGAAGTCCTTAGCCGAAGTTGACGTAAAGAAAAAACTCGTCAATAACAAATAGCGACGAATATGTTCTGTCGAAAATCATCAGAAACGAGTTCAAAGAAAAGTTGTATGTGTTCGACATATCACAGCGAATAAATAGTGATGACAATCAATAGAAAGAGTATGGATGTGAGATGTAACTCTTCTCTTCGACAATACCACAACACACACTCACCCGACACACATAGCTTTATATTGATATGAAATGCAAGTGTGATGGAGAGAATACAACCATTACTTTTATTTGCTTCACACATCAAACAGTGTAAAAAGAAAAAGATAATGCAACGATGTCTCTTGCAGATGTGTGCGTTGGCTATTGATAATGAGACAAAGAAAAAATAGAAATATGAGCATACGCCGATGAAATGCTTTGCTTTATTCTTGCAGATTGAATCACTTCTTTCTCTTTCACACGAGCTGCAGTCAGTCCAACAGTATTCGGATATCTAAGGCTATCTCTACCCTTCCTCACAGTCAGTTTTGGTCCAGGTGCATGCAAATTACATGAAACTTTCAGGACATATGATGAGGCTGTAATAAAGAGGCTATGGGTGAAATTTTCAGCCCTATACCATATCGTTTGAAGACGATATTCACTAAACAAGGGTCAATAATACCTTATTTGGTAACCTAAAGTTCTCTGTGGACTTACATTCTATATATTTAATTTTTTTTGTTCGAAAGAACATGCCAGAATACAGGGCATGGCAGACTCTTCTTTTAGAATTTTTACTTTTTAAGCGGAAACAACAGATGACAAGCGCAACAACTGAAAAAACTTTAAAAAATGAGTTATTTTAAGGTTGTTGAACTTGTCATCT